AAACACGCCCCATAATCACAGCTCTATGGAGCAGCATCAGACTCATTCTGACTAGAATTGAGTCGGACTACGTCAGGCTATGAAGTGGGTAGCGCTGCTGCCTTTCAGCAAGAAGGTTCTGGGTTCAATTCCCGACCTGGGGTCTTTCTGCATGGAGTTAGCATGTTCTCCCTGAGCATGCGTGGGTTCTCTCCAGGTACTCCGGCTTCCTCCCACAGTCCAAAAACATGACTGTTAGGTTGATTGGCTTCTCTAAATTGTCCTTAGGTGTGAGTGTGTGCATGAATGGTTGTGTGTCTCTGTGATGGACTGGCCTCTCGCCCATCACTGCTGGAGACAGGCACCAGCAGACCCCACTCAGGACAAGCGTGTAAGAAGATGGATGGTATATAAAATGTATAAACTTTTATTTCAATGTATTTGGTAACATTTATCAGAAGAAAAATGGCAATGGTTACCTAATATTAGTGAGTAATGTAACATAATGAAGCAAAGTAAATGTCAATCAGAGAAAATTATGAATATCTACATAAATTACTTCATAACAACAAATTCTACAGGGATATAACATTTACTTAAAATTTTGAGTAAAATGCAAATTCACTTTACTTAATTTTTTTAAAAATAAATCTAACTTACAACTTGGATGTAATTAAGTAAATGTTACTTAATATCTTCACAACTGTTATGTTTAATGGAAAGTAAAATTCACTTGATACTGGCTGCCTTAATGCTGCCATATCAAGTGTTACTTGATATGGCAGAATTAAATTTGACTTAAATCATTTGAGTGCAAATACTTACAATATATTTTTCAAGGAAATCTTATGAGCTGTTTTTTTCAGTGTAGCGAGAACACGGCCAGCAGCGTTTTGGATCAGCTGCAGCTGTCTGATGGACTATTTAGGCAAACCTATGGAGACACTGTTGCAGTGATCAAATCTTCTCAAAATACATGCATGAATTAGTTTTTCTAGATCCTGCTTGGACATTAGTCCTTTAGTCCTGGAAACAAAGTGTTCATTTTAAGCTGCTAACGAATCCTCGTGATCAAGTTTATCAGCTTGAGATGATCTTTTGTAGATAATAAAATTCTAACTAACTATTTGAAGGATTGTGCATAAAAGAGACATAACACCAAACGTGAGGGAGTCTTTATGAATGTTTATGACTATAATCATTAAGTGTAATTTTATTAGATGACACCTTTAACCCTAAGGTGTAATAACACGTCTTTTGTTATTACACCTTGACAATAGTCTCTAAATCATAACCTATGATATAAATATGTTATAACTGATTTATTTATAAACCTTTAAATTGTTATTTAAATGTGTGCTAACAACTTTTATTAAAGTATTTGACACTTAATGAAATCTTTACAACTAGTCCTACATGTTCATATTTATGCAGCAAACTGACCTTATAGTGACACTTTTAAAATAGTACGACAGCTAAAGTTTAGACCAATCAAATTTTACAGGATAATGTTATGTAAACACTTGAAAATAACTGATATGAAAACTGAAATTTGATTCTCCGCTAGTTTACCCTAAATGTGTTTAATATTGCTGAGGTTAGGATTTTGTTTCTCTGCAACAAACTTTCTCCACCTGCAGCAACAAAGCTTGTGTACAAACAGGAAGTCTCACTTCAACGTGGAGAGGAACTTTGACTCTTTGATGCATTTTTGGCTGAAAATGAGTCTATTTTTTTTATTTATTATTATATTCGTCAAAAAGATATAACTGTTTTTTAGAATTTCTGTTGCCTTTTTATAGTCTCAAAATAGTCTGTCAGAAAGGACTCCAACCTTCGACTTTAGCAACATTTTTTTTAATTAACATTAATGCAGTTTACTGTATATTTTACTCTTTGAATTGTTCCTTATAAACTCCAAAGACTGAGTGTGAAAATCTCAGTAGTTCAATAGTTTGTGAAATCATCAGACCAATCAGTTTTGAATCAACAGCCAAAACAAATTTAAATAAAACCGTATTTGTTTTCTTTTACTGATGCTTGCTTCAAATTTCATCAAGTTTTCTTTAGAAATGCAGCATTTAATTTTATTTATTTTCTGTGTTAAAACTAATTAAACAGGTGAACTTAATAAAGTGGATTATTATTTATGCTCAGTTTTAGGGACATCCATTAAAGGAGGGATGTTTAAATTAAACTTCAATTTACAAAAAAATATACTTTTAGATTTAAAGCTTGTAAAAATAACCTATGCTCAGACATAGCAGATGATGGTTTGAGTAATTTAGCTATCCTGAACATAGAGAAGCATCCTGTCAGAGTAAAACATGTAATTCTCTTTGTGAAACATTTTGCCACCCAGCATAACAGTTGTTTACTAAAAAGGATTAAGGATTAGTTGTAACAAGAGATTTTATTTGAGAAATGTTTAAATACAGTAAAAATACCGTAACCTGTTTTATTTTGATAAATTTCAATAAAATATTGTCACTCAGACATTGCAGTTATTTTACGCTGCGATGCATTCTGCAGCGAAATGATTTGAACAATGATCTGCCTGATTTTAAAATGTAATCAAAATATGTGCAGCGGTCAGCTCCTTTTGATGGTTCTGCATACAAAGCAACTACAACTGCAGTACTTAAAACTTGACTGTATTCATGGTAACAGCTGAAAAAAGACTATTAAAGTGAAGAAAGGTACAAATATGCATTAATAAAAATAAAAGCTTTATTAAAATTTCACCACCATGGTTAGAATTAAACTAATACAGCTGTTGTGTAAAATCTTTTTTTGTGAAGGAATAGTGTAACTAAATCTGAGAAAATGATGTCAGGATGAAGAAAAAAAAGTATCTTTTTCTGCATTTCTTTATTAAAGTTGGGAAAAAATAAACCGTACAGCAGCACAAAAAAAGTTTAAAGCAGAAAAACCTTCTAAGACAAGGTTGAAGGTCTATAGGGCTTTTATTTTGAAACCACCTACTCCTTTTAACATAGCATGTTTTTTGCTAAATGTATGCAGCTGAATGAGGCAGACAAAAATAGAAAAGCTGAGACGGATCTTTATAAAAAACAATAGGAGTTGAATAAAACAAACAGACTGATTTCAGTGGAATCGACAAATAATTAAAATATCCATACATGTAGGCGACAGAAAGGAAATATACTCATGCACTCATAAAGCCGTTGATCAGGCTGTAATCGGACAAGCTTTCAACTCATAAATACCTTTTGCCACATTTTTAATACATTTGTTGTAATGAAAAAAAAAAAAAAAAGTGTGGCATCTGCAGCACTTCCTCTTCAGAAACCATCCTGCAGGTGTGTCTATCACCCCCAAGAATTAAACGTTCAATAAAACCTGAACAAGCCACGCTGGGTAGCCATGTATCTATAAACCCACAGTCCACTGCAGTGCAGAGCTGGGTGTTACTTTCAGAAACACCCGATGACGACTGTTCCCGTCTGCAGATTGGTGTGGAGCTAAAGCCTCGCCCACGGTGCCTTTCCTCATATCTGTACTGTGTAGTTTGCAGGAAACAACCCACTCTGCCCCCGCAGCCTGCCTTTCCACCAAGAATTGTCTGAGCGATCCAACACCTCGATGATGTCACCGGCACTAAACCCCAGCTCGTCGTCTTCCTCAGCGGTGAAGTCGTACAGCGCCCTCACCTGCACTGTGGACGATCGCTGTTGGAAAGGGGGAGATGATCATTACTATCAGGAAGGCAGCTCATATATGACCTAGCTCACAACTTTTAAAACATTTAACACCACAAGATGATACTCTACAATTAAGTTCCAGGAAATCATTTATTCCAATAAATGTTTAATTAACTTTACCATAAGTTATTGAGGAAAAAAAACATAAAGTTGTGAGTCAGAATTACTCAACTTACAAAAGTCTTACAGAAGTCTAAAAGTCTAAGGCTAAATTTGACTTCAAATTTGACTTAAAAAGTCAAATTTACTTAATTTTAGGATGCTTTCTTCAGTTTAACTGAACTGAATCAAAAACATTGTCTTTAAAGGCTAAGATTTATAACATAATTAAAGAGACCAACATTTATAACCTTTAATAACACGTAGAATTTGCCTCTAATTTTAGATGAAATGATCTGAATTCCCCCTGTAATCAGTTCATTTGAGTGGTCTGTCTCTGAGGAGCGTCAGATGGAGAGTTAAGCTGAACTCAGTTACCCCCAATATTACATGTCGTCCTCCGCAAAGATGTAAACTTTGAACGAACATAACGAAACCAAACACAGTGTTTTCATTATGTCCACTGCGCAGCGGTGCGAAGCCTACAGGAGCTCCGAGCAGGATGCACAGATTGTGTTTTAAAAGCTTCTAAGACCGAGGGCAGAGCAATACTGTACGACATCTTCAATAGATTTTAATCTGTTTTCCTCACTTTGTTTTGAGGATCCAGATATTTTTAGTTCTATTCTTCAATGAGTGATTAGACTGAGTGTGGAGAGGCCATTTTTGTTGTTTACATTTGAGCATTTCATGTTCAATCATTAGGTTTTGATGACCTACATTAATATATACCACCCAGTAATTGATCTGATATGTTTAGTGGATAGAATACGGATATAATTATACTCCTGTCTTAAAGGATAGTGGAGGATTTTTTAAAAGACCCGTCCTCGTGAATTACACCTATCAAACATGTGCAATGGCGTGCACGAGCCCATTTCACCTCGTGCACGTTCTGATTAAAAGTTGCTGTTTACATCACTCATACAAGCTTACTTTCCAAAATATTTGAAATTTTTCCACTATGTCAGACTCACCGCCGGTAAGTGAATATGGGGACGAGGACGTAGGACGGCCTTACGTACACATCTCACCAGAATGATTGACAATTAGGAGGACCACTTATTTAGATGATCCACCCAGAAAAAGAACATCCTCCACTTTACCTTTAATATAAAAAGGTTTTTTAAGCAAACATAGCCGTCTTAAACAACTTTTGTTGAAAATCTTCTGCCATCTTGCTGCAGTAAATCTGTGTATTTTAAATAAAAGACTAAGCTAACAAATAGTGTATAAAGTTTCCACCCGAAAATTGTTCACTAATTCTGGGAATTCCAATTCCTGACCGGCCATGGGAGCATGAGTCTGAGTGACAGGGATTTATTGCACATTCTGCTGGGAAAGTACGGTAGCCAAAACAGTGGCCATAGTGGCCATATGACTGAAAACTTTAAACAGTGGGACCGTACCAGAGATTACCTCCCAGTTGCCTGTTCTGAGGTAAATTGAACACACCCTATGACCCATAGGGGGAAGCACTTAGGGAAAGATTGAAGATTTAATCAAGGCGACATAAATAAGACAATATTTTTAGAGTAACATAAAAATAGCATCCATAATGCCCAATTTTTACAATTAACTGCAAACAAAAGTTGCTTTTGGGTTTAGTTACTCAGCCAACAGATGCTCTTACAAACATAAACAAAAGTAGGAACCTGTAATCCTTAGGCTAACTCTAATAGTTTGAATTATCCTGTCAGTCAAGCCAACATATTCTCATTATCAGTTCGTATGAAATCGTACGAAAAGTTATACACAGTATTTCGTACGTTTTGGACATTTTTCCTCAAAAATACAGATCAGTGCGCATGCGCAGCCAGACAGACGAAAAAAGCAGATCCGCGGACGGACGTAAAACTGGGAAAAACAGTGCAATAATTACTTCTTCAGGTCTCTAACTAGGTTGCTTGCTGTTTTGTATCTTAGGATTAGGGTCAGGGTTAGGGTTAATTGATATGTTGTCTCGAGACAAGACGTAAAAATATGACGAAATGCGACGAAAAAACGTCTAAAACGTACAAAATTACGGTGCATAACTTTTCGTACGATTTCATACGAACTAATAATGAGAATACACTGGTCAAGCTGAGTGACAGGGGATCTTATCTGGGCACCAGAAGTGATCCAGTCAAGTAAGATGTACAAAGTATGAGGGGGTTTTTTTTGGACCTGCCTATGACATCCCCTGGCTTTGCCCTGGTTGGCAGGCCAAAAACAGCCTTTTTAATTAAAAAAATTAGAATAAATCACTGCTGAGTTCTTTTTACTGCATGTAAAACAGTAATAGATGAAAAGTTTCCCACTGAAAAATAACAGAACCAGGCTGACCGTAGGTGGAGGCATGGTTTCAGAGATGCGGCGAGGATGACAGGCGGAGGGGACAGGGCTGCTTCTGCCCGTGTGTCCAATGGTGTGCGCTCGCTCCTGAATGGCAGGATTTTTAACCTAAAATCAGAAGAAATAAACAAATAAAAATAAAATGATACTGTTCTTCTTGCATCCATGTCAAGATGGTTAAAGTCATCCTAGAAACAGAGACCCAGAGTCTGGCATTCAACAGAAATCCAATGATGATTGGTTGATTGAGCGGAAAAGTGGGCGGCTTTGGGTGCTAAACTGGTTCCGTTTTTTTTTTTTTTTTTAGCAGCGATTTACTTCATGGTCTGTTTATTCAGTTTAAATCTAGGAGAGAAGGTATTAATTATGGAGTTCCTCAAGGGTCCGTTCTAGGATCACTTCAATTAAGCATCTAGATAATCCCACCAGATCAGATTATAGAGAACTAGAGCATGTCTTAACATATCCTGCCGACACACAACTTTATATTTCTGTCAAACACGTGACCATAGTTTATCACAGTCACCAAATCAGTGCGTTGTTTATTGAGACAGAAATTACTGTGTTTGATCCCAAAAAACTGAAAATCCAGATCAAAGCTCAACTAGATTAACCCTTGCTAGAAACATGTAACATCTATATTTTCTATAGCTATCTGTTTTTTAATTACCTTTAAATTACTTTAGATTTTCTTTAAGTTTTTTGCCCTGTACAAAAACAAAGCCAAACTTAAAAAGCTTACGTAGCTCTTTCAGCTGTAAAAAAAATTCTTTAATTATGTAATAAAGATGTATAAATATTAGACTGTAGAAAGAAAAGTTGCTACCAGCTGGCTGACGGGTTGATCTGAGGCCCTGCGAGGCGATGAAGCAACGGCTGCAGCTGAGTTGCGTTCAGGCAAACTCACCCTCTTCCCCTGCAGGAAGGAAACACAGGAAGCCGATAAGAGAGATTCATTGAGATATGCAAACCTAAAGAGATAAATGAAATGAACAACTCTCGTCTCTATTTATACGCGTATAAATCAAATGGGTTTTTATCACATAGGAAGTCAGACGGTGAAGATCAGAAGAAAAATTGTTCTTATCCTTTCAGCTCAACCTGGAAGGTCAAAATCAAAATGTTTCCCAACATGATAGCTTCAGATGGAAATATCTGAAAAATAATTTTTAGGAAACCTTTTGAATTTACAAAAGAAACCAGTGAGTGAGATAAAATCATTAACATTTAAACAGGTTTTAAAAAAGGTTTTTTTTAGGCCGTTTAGTTGTTTCTAGCCCTAAATAATATATTTATATTATCAAGAAATACTAATAATCATCATTCTGTGTGTAGTTAATATGCATAATGCCCTATCACTAAGTGATATTGGTTGATTATGAGGAAACTCATGACTTTTTAATCACAATTTAATGTATTTAATGTATCTGAATGAGGTTTGACACTAAAATAATTATTTCTGTTCACTCAGGTGGCCCCGTCTTTCCTAAAAAAAAAAAAAATGTCCTCAACAACTGAAAAAAAAACAAACAAACTCTTTCTAAACTGTTGAAATTTTAACATTTCTGAACTTTCATATTAACTGCCAGTTATGAAGTGTTATTTAAAGACTTTTTCCAGAGTGATCTCTTTTCAGGAAAAGGAACCAGAAAGAGAAAGCTTCAAGGTTTAGACACAGAAAACACCTTTCACAGAATAAAGCACATTAAAAAATACAGTGAAGTTTGTTACCTTTAAGGTTTCAGCAAAATGGGCAAACATATAAAACCAAATAGTTCCTCACTTTAAATTAGAATCTCATAACTGAAAAGTTTAACTTTATGCAATTTTCTATTCTGATTATTTATGTCTTTGGATTAGTAGAAACAAGAACAAGAACAAACAAAGAACCCGTAGAACAGAATCACTGCCTGGTTGAGTGATTGTATGGTCATTTATTGCATAAATAGTTTCCTTCAATGAGAAAATGAGAATAAAAGAGCCTTTTTGTTACCTGGGACATGGGGCCATTCCTGCCGTCTGAGCTGCCGTCGTACAGGAAGATCTGTCTGGTTTTGGAGATGGAGGTGGTTTTGTAGAAGTCCACCAGTTTGTTGAGTGAGGTGAACTTCTCCGACCACAGGAAGTACTGGCCCTCATTGTCTCTCATCACCTTGAAGTGCTGGACGTCGTTCTCGTGTCTGAGGAGGGACAGACAGACAGACGCCTCTAAGTTATAGAAATAAAACCTGCAGATGGATTTACAATTTTCTAAAACTGCAAGTTGACATCTGGAAAACTGGTTCTGGTTTGGATCTCTGATCAGGTTCTCCTTTATTAGACCGGAAAACAACAATTGCAATAGATGTTTCTAGAACATTGTTTGATATTTCAGCTTTCTTTGTCCCTTTCAAACCCACCATTTAACTATACTATATTGTCTTTAGCTAAACTTTAAGCATTTTTAATACAATCTCTATTCAGTGTGGAAAATGTTTAAGAATGTGTTTGCAAAAGAAAATCAAGATTAAATTTATATTGATATTATTGTCATGATACAAAAATTCCCAACTTGATATCGATACCCAGGAAAATATACGATACTCGATATCATTTTCACTGCCACAAAGATTAAACAATACCAAATAATTAAAGGAATAAAAGAAACAACATATTTCTAAATAGAAAATGGTTTCGCAACAGAATCGCAGATTATATTAACTAAATAGGTGTTCAAATAAATGCAAAATAAATAACCGGAATACAACATTTGATAATATTTTAAGGTTGTTGGAGGTCTTACTCATTTAATGCGAAAATAATCTAGAAATCTAAAATTAACTTTATCAAAAATATGTAAATAATATTCTGATTTAGAACTGACACCATGCCAAATGAATATTGTGTATTGATACTTTTCAAAGTATCCATACTTTGGATAGCACTAATCGATATATCTTACATTAAACTTTATCACATCCCTGAATTTAATTCCTGCTTAAAAATCTGTCAGTTTGGGCTCATAAAACCATCCCAGACTTTATTACATTTTGTGCACAAAAACACAAAGAATCTAATCTGGGTCCTAAACATTTGATCTTAGTTGGGAGTCCTGATATTTGCTGTAGGCATAATGTCACAACAAATGCATGTTTAATTGTCATAGGCTTCCAAAAAAATAAATAATTCCACATTATTTCATTTATCAAATCTGTCATGATTTGGTTTAAGAAGGGAAGAAATGTAGAGGCAGACTGGTGTGGAAAAAAACACCAAAAAGTCCTTTAATAGGAGAAGAATAGACATCAAGACGGCAACAGACATAGAAAATAGTTTTGTCAAAAGTATCAATACTTTTTTGAGTATCGATACTGAAACGTTGTATCCGGATACAATACTCGTTTTTAAAAGTATCAAAAATGCCACCACCAGTGGCACCTAAACAGTCATTCATCTAAAGTGCAGAATAGAGGAAAACTTTCAGAACACTGTGTGATTGAATAATTCTACGCACTTTTCAGTTTCAGACTTTTTTTCTGTAACAGGTGCAGCTGCTGAGAATTATTTTTGTTTCTTAACTGGTTTGGTTAGTGTCATTGTTATGTGTGCAAAGCATAGCCAAGGAAGGAACACTTCATTTTATACGTTTTTTATTAAGCTTGCTTAATTTTGTGCGCAGCATACAACCTCAAAATATTGTTCTTATTGTTTATTGTATTTTTTTATTGTATTTTATTTATTAATGAAAATATTTCTGTAGATTTTTGGAGTCTTTGTTTTTATCCTTGTGGTATCGAAAATGGTATCGAGTATCGAATATTTTCCTTAGAATCGCTATCGAGTTGAAAATAATAGAATGAGAGAATAATGGAAGAAAGCAGAGAGAACAATGGTAACCAGTGAGTATATTCACTGATTTCATCCCAGCGCTGCGTGTCCCGTGACATCATCAATGACCCCTCACCCCCCCACCATGGACTGCCCTCTGGGAAGAGGCTTCCCAGCATTCAATGCAGGACGAGCAGGTTCTGCAGCAGCTTCTTCCCCACCGCCATCACACTGATGAACTGTTGCAAAACTCTTAAATCATGTAACAGACTCTGCATCACACTGATAACACCAAAGCAGAAATACTCCATATTTGCACCATATAAATAAATGCTCTGAACTTCCATATCAATGCATTTTTTTCTCCGACACTGTTTACATTTGATCACTGCTGCACTTTATGGAATGGAAATGTTCAATTACGGTAGTCTGAAAAACTGTACTAAATGAAATTTCAAGGTTGTCCAAGTTTAAGTCTGATGGGAGAAGAGGAAAACAGGTCATTATGGGAAAATGCCAAACAGCTGATACAGAATAAAATCAAGGTGCTGAGAAGGGAAGACTAATTACCTTTACAAGGACATAACAGAGATACACATAACCCAGGAGAAAAATCAAACATAATATAGTTCAACAAAGAAAACAAGAATTTGGTTTTATAACATAAAACAACATGATGGTGAGATTCTGAGGTTCTGATCCAACTATATGACAAAGGCTTGTTGATTAAATGAATCTAAATAAATTCACTTAAAAGCCAATTCTGTCAATATCTGCTTTATTCAGTCAATCAGGAATTTTACTGCTTCAACTAACGACAGAAAGATTCATTCTAAGATGGATCTAAAGGGTCCAGATGTTTACTAAGATGTGAAATTGTGGAATTTAAAACTTAACGTTTAGAAGTTTTAAAAAATCTAGGGCTCAATAAAGTACAGCATAAGTTTCAAGTAAGTTCTAAGTATTTGGAAAAACTTTTCTAACCTTCCTGTAGATGTTTAACTGGTTTAAGTCCTAATCTGTTTTAATCCTAGGAGATTTAAAACTGTTAGATTAATTTTATCACAGGAAAAAAAAACACATGTTTATATTCTCTAAATCTGTGAAATGTGCAGAAACATAAATCATCTTGAATAAGGATAATAATATTAATGATGATATATTTTATTTATGGGATCCTTTACAGACACTTTCGATCAGCTTATGTGGTTTAATATAAAACATATAAGACAGAATATTAAAATACACAAGGAAAATAAGTACAGAGGAATATTTAAATAAGACAATGCAGCAGCAATTACCGCAAATAGGCTTCTTAAAAAAAAAAAAAAAAATAAAAAAAAACAAGTATTGAGTTTGAATTTGAAATGCAGCCTTGAGTCTGTGTTACAGAGATCAGGATGTACCTGAGCTTATTCCCTCTAACAGGGTTATTATTATTATTGGTATAACTTTATATATTTATTATAAACTGTATTTTCCAAGATGCAATAATGATTCTTATTCCATCTTCTTTTTTTACAAAAAGAGAAAAAATAATTAATTTCATCTTATATAAACTGATTATTTACAACCTCCACTGATTAAATTGGAAATTAACTTTTAGCTTTAGTAAAAACTAAAAGTTAAAAGGCCTTAATGAATGTTTACATTCACTGAATCTAGAAATAATTAAACTAATTTCTGTGAGCACCATAACATCTCCTGTATGATATTTAATACAGAAGGTTTATTTATTTCAGATTAAGAGTCAAGCTTTTCAAGCTTATTTTAAGCTCTACAGGAAACACACCTTTGACTGAATTTGTTAATCTTTATGACGGATGGATTAGTCATCCAGATTAGGTCAGAAAGGTCGCTGAAAATGGACTGATAGCTGAAACTGAAACTAGTTTTGTAATAATTGAAAATATATGTTGCTTTTGTTTATTCTGGGCTTTCCAGCTCTGTCCCAGTTTCCCCTGAGCCTCAGCTGTTTGCTCAGCTGGATTGTCCTCTGCTGGTCAACCTGCAGAACTGCAGCTTTAACAACAAGAGGTCAGAACTTCCATCAGAAAATCAAACCACAGCAGCATTCTCAGAAAGAAAGAGGCTCAGTCAGTCATAATTCTTGTTCAGCATGAAAATGTATAAAAATAATTCTTTTAATTTTTTTTTAATTCAGGATAGGAAACAGAAAAATTTACTCCTGATTGTTAATTGTTAAATGCTTCTTCCTCATTTATACAGGAATTCAATTTAAATCCATACGAATGTTTACCTTCCACAGAATCAGTTAATTTCAAATTATAAAATAAATAACAGAAAAACAATTTAGATCTCCTTAAATTTAAATCAGGATTAGTATTCTATAGATTTTTTTTTTTTTTTGCTTAATTATTGCCTAAGTAAGTGTAAAACTTAATAAACATGTTTGTGTGCAGAACCTGTAATATCCTGTTGTATAAATATAGAAGTTAAAAATCTTTGGTACAGTTTGATCAGTGAGTTCTGCAAAGATAAACTAAGGCTGTGAAGCAGAAGAGAACCGTGAGTCACCGCAGGATTACTGCCTTTTTTTTTTTCAGCTATAAAAAGAAATTTTCCTAAGAGCGAACGTCGCTGCAGGTCCGACACACGCTGGTCAGAGAGGAAACTGACTGAACTTACAACCTGTTTAATGTGCAGCTGCCTTCAGCTACAGTATAAATACAAGCCCTGCACAGTCTGCCAGTCTCAGGGGAAGTTAAAGGGTAAGAAGATGAGTCACATCTTGTTTTATCTTAAAGTGTAAAAAGAAATACTTGTGCTAGTGAACCAGATTTTTTTTATGAACAAAAAGAAACTAACAAAATCTTATATTAGCAGCAAGGATGTGTTGCAACTTCGTTATGGTTACAAAACTGCTTAATAGATTTGTGACAGCCTGCAGTCACACTCTGAAGCTGTGTGCTAACTTTAACATGAGTTGCACATTTCATATATTTTCATTAGCCTGACTTTAAGTTATCTTTTTGCAGCACACACATTTAGTTAACTTTATTTGTCGCGTTGTTTGTTTTGTCAAGATGCAATTGATTGCAGGCTAATCAGAGGGTCAAACCATTTGTAATGGGAAGGGAAATTTGTTTATCATTTCTTTAAATATTCTTAGTGTGGGTAATTTTGTTAATTAGTTGAATTTAAAAAGTACTTAGTGTCTGGCCAGTATTTATCTGTTTAATTAAGTTTACTTTTTTTGTTAGTTTGATGGTCAGTTATCCCCCTTGTGTGTCAACAGTGGTTTGATCAGCCACTATTTAAGTTTCCCTCATGTCTTGTTTTTTTTTTTTTAGGTCAGTTTGTGGTTGAGTTCTTTATGTTAAAGCCTGAATTAAATTCTGTTTTGTTGACCACTGTTTTTTGGCCTAGTTTATCATTTTTTGAACACTTTTTTTTTTTGAATAAATTAAGAATTTAAAAAAAAAAAATTTAGTTTTCTGGCTGGTTTGTGCAAATCCCTCACAAGATTGTTAAAAAAAAAAGAAAAAAGTGTTCTAAATAACTTAGCTGTTTTGATTCATT